CTTTTTCTTTTTCTTTTAGTTGATGTTTGTACAACATATTTATTATTTAATTCTGATTGATTCCAATCTAAAAACCTTCTTTAATCAAGATCAACATCATTATTATAAGGTGGAAAGCTAGAAGATACTCTTTTTCTGACTGCATATTCTTTTAGCATTTTTAATAGTCTATAAGTATAGTTTCTGCATAGTCTATTAAATCTTACTTTGGCAGGAGGAATAGCAGCTTCAATCTCTATAGCATAAATTGGAGAAGTTTTAAAAGCTTCTAGAACCTTTCTTAAAGCAGAGTTTTGAAGTTTTTCATACTTATGGAGAAGATTCTTTTGATTCTTCTATCAAATCTGAACACTATAATCAGCTACTGAGGTAATACAAGCTATATAAAGTTGTCTTATAGCTTGAAAAGTAAGACCTTTTTCAGTATTTGAAAGTCTGATTATTTGATTAAGAACTTTTTCAGCAGCTGATATCTTAATTTCAACATGGTTCTTGAAAGTAAGAGTATTGTCAAGCCAAATATCTAACCATCTCACTAGCTTTTTTAGTTTAAAAACTTGATCATGTAGTTTAACTGAGTTATCTTCACTAAATGATTTAGTAAAGTGGATTAACTCAGTTTTTTCCATATCAAATTGAACTACATGAGAATTTTATCTATTAGATATTGCTTGTAAAGCTTTATCTAACTTAAAGCAGTTTTCTTCTATTGAGGAAGAGAAGACAACAAGTTCAGTATCATCTATATAACTAGAAATTCTGATATCTTTAAGATCTAAATCATTATTATTCTTAAAGAGAAATATAGTATATATAGAGAAAAGTATTAGAGATAGAGGTGAATCTTGAGGAATTCCAATATTTATAAATATCTTTTCTTGTTGTTTTTCACCATCAAAAACCAGTTGGATTTTTCTTGTTTGCATAAAATAAAAAATCCATATAGCTAGTGATTTAGGTAGTTGCAAATCAGAGAAGACTTTTAAAAGTCTATTTAGTGAAACATAGTCAAATACTTCTTTTATATCAATAAAAAGAGCTGAGGCTACCAATTTATTAGCTTTTGCTAATTGAATATCATGTACCAAACTCATTACAGCATCTATAGCAGAGCATTGCTTCTTTCCTTCAAACTGATCAAAATATAGTAGTTTATTTTAGAAGGCCCAATAAGAAATTCTAGAAGCAATAACTCTCTCTATAACTTTTCCCAAGCAGTTAAGTAGAGAGATGATCTTGTAAGATTTTGGTAATGAAGCTTTTCTATTTGGTTTCTTTAGAATAACTCCAGTAGCTTCTCTCCAGATTTCTGGATGATATCCCTTTTCAAATAGTATAAAGTATAACTTGAAAAATGTATCTTTAAGTACTGGATAGATTTTTTGTAGTATAAGAAAGGATATACCATCTGGGCCAGATGTACTGATTTTGGAGCCTGAAAAAATAAAGTTCTTGATCTCTATTTCTTGAAAATTAGGCCATTTCCAATCTGGATTTTCATGATATTCATTCCAATTTATTGGTGGATAACTTGGTGGTTCTCTGAAAAGAGCTTTTATAAAAGCATTACATTTCTCTTTAAATGAGATAGCTTTATTTTCTATTTCATTTTCAGAGTTTGAGAATTTTAGAATAGAAGTTTTTTCCACTCTTTTTTCTTTGGTATATTTATATACTTTAAAAATCTCTTTTTCTTGAGCATTTTCCAGAAATTCATTCCAACAAGATGACTTTGTCTCTTTAATAGCATTAAAGTAGTCATTTCTAGTTTGTTGAAAGAACTCTAAGCTAACTTGCTTATTCTTCAGTTTTCTAAAGGCTTTTGTTGTAGCTTTTCTCTTGATTTTTAGCTCATTATTCCACCAAGGCTTAGATCTTCCAGTTATTCTCTTTTTGGAAATGTGTTTCTCAATAGAGATTTGAATTAGATTTCTTAATTTAATTGCTTTTAATTTAAGTTCTGATGGAGTATTTTCTATTGAAGTCCATTGAAATTCTTCTTTTTCTAGATTTTGAAGAAGAGAGTTATTTACTTCATTCTAATTAGCTTTCTGAAAGTTATATTGATTTGAATAAAGTGGATTTTCAACAAGATTTTCAGTATTTAGTTCAATACTGAATTGAATAATTTCATGATCAGAACCAGAGTGAAGAGCTTCATCAATCCACCACTCATGTATCTTTTAAGTTAAGTTGGTGGAGAAGAAGGTCAAATTTATGATTGATTTAGATGATAGATTTGATCTGAAGAAAGTTTCTCTGTCTATCTTATTTATTAAATCCATATTATTCTCCTCAAGCTGTTCTACTAGTTTTTCAGCTCTAACTGAATTGACTATATTTCAATTCCACTATGAATGGTGAGCATTCATATCTTCAGTAATAATAAAGTATTGAGAAGCTGAGATATTTACTAGTTCTCTTTCAATAGTTCAAAGATTTGAGTTGTCCTCTAGATCTTTTTGATTATAGATATTTATCAGTTGTATGGTTTCAAACTGATTGTATTTATCTTTAATATCTATAACTAGAAGATCATTACTAGAGCATATGTCAGATCTTAAGCAGGGTTGATATCTGGACTGTTTTCTAGCAAAAATAGCTACTCTAGATCTCAAATCTTTATTCTCAGAAAGAATGCAATAATATGCATTATGAGATACTGTAAACTGATTATCTGAGCTCATCCATGGTTTCTGAAATAAAATATAATCAATTTTCTTTTCAAATCCAATATCAAGACATGTATGCATTGACTTTTCATTTTTTCCAACATTATTCTGAAGAAAGATCAATTTTGAAAAAGTATTTGAAGTTTTATTTAACATAAATTAATAAATGGTAGTCTAACTTCAATCTTCTTCTTAGAGATTACAACTTGATTTTCATCTTCAGAATCTGTTTCATGAGATCTCTTAGAAACAGATTTAGTTCTGGAAAGATTCTGCTCAGCTCTTACTAGTTGCATTGATTTACTAGTATTTTGTGCTGAATAGTTGGATTTTTTGAAGAAAATACACTCTGTACTTTTAGCCACATGATTTTCTAGACAATTAGCACATTTTAATGTAGAGTGTATACATTTTCTTCCAGTAATCTCACAAATTGAGCATTCATGCATACTTGTTTAATGTTTTTGAGCACAGATACTACATCTAGCTTCTTTTTACAGTTTGATGCTGTATATTTATAGATTTGATAGTTAAAGCATTGTACAGTGCTTCTAAATCTTTCTAACTGTTTGTATTTACAAACTTTAAGATTCTGTCAAGCAATCACAACTGTTTTCAGATTTTCAGCTATTGTAGTATTTTAAACATGAAAGACAGCAGATGCATGTCTTTTCTGTATTCTATTTTCAGCAGAAGATAGCCAGATTGGGGTTCTTTTTAAAGAGATAGAGTTAAAAATTTCTATCTCTTCTTTTAGAAGAGATAATCCATTCTCTATATTAAAGATCTCTGTAGAGATATCATGAACTATAAAGACTCTCCAGTGCTCATCTTTGTGAATTTTAATGCTCTCTACATCAAAGTTCATTAGATCTGAGAATATAGATATCCAAGTTTGCTTGTATTTTTGAAGAAAATCAGCTGAAAAGTCTTCTGTTGTTATTAGAATTAGAGATTAGCCTTTAAATGACTTAGTAATTAAAGAAATAAGTGGTTTTTTAGTAATATTTGCTTCAGTAAAGCTGTCATTTATTCTATTTCTGAAGAAGAAAGCTTTATTACTGATCTCTTCAAGTACTTGAGTATTTATCTTAAGAATTAGTCTTCTTTTTCTAAAGAGTTTTGACTCAGAGAACTGTTTTTTATCTTCTTTACCATTTACTTTAGAGAGTAAAGAAGATTTAACTGAAGATTCAGTATTTAGTCCAGTTTTTAGAGCAGAAGAATATGATTTGAAAGCATTACTAGCAGATACTTTCTCTTGAGAGCAGCTTTATGAAGTATTACTACTGTCAGTAACTGCTTTTTTTTGATTTTCAAGCTGTATAATTCTTTTCTCAAGATTTTAAAGTTCAGAGTTCTCAAAAACAGTAGTATCTTCTTTTTCTTTAAAAGAAAAGATTTTTTAAATACTTAAGATACAAGCATTTAGTTCTTTTTGCACAAGAACATGATTCTTCTTCTGAGATTCTTTAGCAAGAAGCTTGAGAATTAACTTTAGATCTTGCTGTTTAGATTCAGAAGAAGAATCAGAAGTAGAAGGCATTTTGACTATATTTCAAGAAGTATCTTCTTGAATAAGAAAACAGAAGATAATCTTTTGAAATTACTTTCTTAAGAAGATCTTCTGAGGTTCATTGGCAAATCCCTATCAGGCCTGCCATGCCCCACAAATTTTAGTATAATTTTTCTCGCTGTAGACAGTCTTAGTGCCCTTGGTACCACAAAATTGCCCTGGTTTTACTCCAGACCACATTTTTGATTTTCTTGTTGCTTCAGATTAGCTCTAGTTGAGTTCTTCCAATCAGTAATAGTTCTGGGCCTGCTGGGCTTCACCAAATCATTCTTTAGTTGCCTCTTTTACTCACTAAGTCAAGGTGCTACTCCTGCCAGTACTTTGTACTCTTAGCTATCTGGAAGTTCTAACTCTACACATTAAAATAAATAATTTCAAGTCTAGTAGCATTCTTATTTTTTGCAAAAACTCACAAAGCTACATTTAGATGTGAGTAAAAAACTAAAGTATGTCATGAATTCTCAGAAACTCTTAATCTCTTGATACTATACAGAGACTGTATGCAAAGCAGAGTTTTACACTTCTGACTATTAGTATCTGATTTCTTAATTTTCTTGTCACTATTTTCTGTTCCATCTTCTAGTGTAGTGGGGATTCCGGTACCATATTAGGACAAAGGTTGTTCCGGTCCGAGGCGCAAAACCCCCCAAGCTACTATTGAAAATGTCAACTTGACACGATTTCTTCGTGACAAAATCATGATTTTTGTTCAGAGATGCGTAAATTGATCAAGCACTTTGTGGAATAGGTTTTCAAATTAAGCTGGAATTAATATCGCGTGTGTAATGTTCGCAGTGAGCCATAACACTGTCCAGATCAGGAAGCAGAGGACAGAAAATCTGAACTCCTGATGCAAAATTATCCTTGTCCTCTGATTGGTTCATTTGATTCACCAGTATGCTGGTCAATCCAATTAGGCTTAGCGTGCTTTTGGATTCACCATCACCGGAACTATGTTTCTCCTTATCACCATAGTCATCAACACTGGTACTGCTGCCAACACTCCCAACTTCTCTATTCTTTTCAACCTCCTGACCTTCAACCTTCTCATCATTAATTCTTATACCCATTGTCTTCATTGCATTTTCTTTATTCTCATCAGGCCTTGTATCCACAGGCACCTGCCTGATTAAATACCTGTTGAATCATTTAAATGATCACTGTTTAATTTATCAGTTGCATATCTCATATTGCTCAAGCTTGACTTAAAGCCTTCAAAAACTAGACAATGCATTCATTCCTTGTTATAAATTTCACAGTTCACTCCTCCATCATCTGAGGTGTTGCATCCCCAACAGACAGCAAATTGCCAAGGTCTTCCAAGAATAAGTTGCTGATCCCCTCCCTCAAATATAAGAAAAGAGATATGGGTAATAATGTCTCTGATCTGAACAGGCACTTCATCACAAAACACATAAAAAGGAGCAACTTCTCTCATTTGAACAACTATTGTCACTTGTGGCTTATTTTCCATCAGCAGATTCAACATTTCAGCATACTTCCAAGACAACAAATTGATTTCTAAACCAGTATTGATCAACACCATTAATTCTTGTTGGTTTATAGTAACTGGCACATATAACAAACACATTCCATATACTGTTTTGGATTTTGGTACCATGAGCTTTGATGTAAGTCAACCAGAATTGATCTTTAGCTCAGACTGAACCAGTTCAGAGACTCCAACCTTTGCATGGCTTTTGCTAGTACTGTTATTCCAACCTGATCCAAAGAACACTTGATGAAGCTTCAGCAATACATCTATAAGCTTCTTGACTGACACTTTGACCTTCCTATTGAGAATTCAACCCATTAATTCATTGGCATCTGTTGAATCACAGATCTGAGAGGATAAATAATCTGTTGCAGAATATCTTGATCTTTGTTTCTCTACAGTCTTGTTCTGAATTTCAGGCTGCTTCTGATTGATTGGTTCAACATCTTCCATGATATCATCATCAACACTAGCTTGATTATCCTGGTAGATAATAAATTATCCAGTATGCTGAGTATGGGGTGTTGCAATCTTAGCTTTTTGACTGTTCTTAGCTTCTCCAACAGTTCCAACATTGACTGATGTTCTTTCTTCCAGTGGTTCATATTCCTTATCTGAATCAGATTCTCCATCAGATATTAGATATGCAAGTCATCCTGCTTGAACCTTCACACTGGTTGAATTTACTGGAGGTGTCTCTTCTTGCTGATTGGTCTCCTTTTTAGAGCTTGTCAACTCTGGAATTGCCCATTCATTCTCTTCCATAGACTGTACAATATACATGTTCAGTATTTCAGATTTAGGAGTGACAACTCAATAGTTTTGACCAGAGGAACCCATGCACAAGTTCCCTTCATCATCAATATGACAGAACCTGTTATTTGCATCAGATTAGTATTTGTAACACTGAGATTAACAGTGTCCAGGTTTTCCACAGTAAAAGCATGAGAGACATGTCAAAATTTCTCCAGTTCAAGCTCCTCCTCAGCCACTAGAACAATAGCTTGTCATCAGCAAACCATTTCAAGCCATATAAGAATTGACTAATTGCAGTTGGGTGTTCTCTTGTACCATTGCAGAATTAGTAGTCACATTTGTTGTATAATTTGGTATGGATTTCAGAGGCTCTTCTCTCTGCAGCATATAGTACTGATCAGAATTCCCTTGTATCTGATTTGACTGTACTCTCATGGCCAATGCCAAATTTGTAAACTCATTGGTCATCTTTTCAATTGCAGCTTCAATATTGATGCTCTCAGAGCTCTTGGCTTTGAATTTCAATTCAGATTCTTCAGTCTTTACAGAACTAGCTGTTTTCTTCAGAGCCTCAACTGTAGGGGGTTTGTTAGCTAATTGATATCACTCACCAAGCTTCTCCATTTCCTTCTGCTTCATTTCATCTTCTTTAAAGACCTTCTTATTCCCTTCATACTGGTCAATCAAATCCATGGTCACTCAAACAACCTTCCTAAAATCAATAGGTGACATATCATCTGAAAGATTGAGCTTTGTCTTGTCAATAACCTTATTCCAGAGCTTCTCAGGCAGCCCCTGAAGGAACCAAGACACCTTAGTGAATTCATCAAGCCTTCCATTGGCTTGTACTGTACTGGCAATAGTAGTGTATTCTCAAACATAGGCACAAATGTTGCTATCCCAAGCACACAGTTTCTTTGTAATTGCTTGAAGATAATTCCAACAGTGAATCTTGTAAGTAATGTTCTGATCACAAAATTCATGAATAATCTCTTTAGAGAATACTTCCCAATTACCTTTCTTGTAGCCTTCTAAGGTCTTCATCCATTCTCCAATCCATGTAACACAGTATCTAGCCAACCATTCAATAATGTTCTTAGAGTCAATTACCCCATGATCCTTGCACATTTGATAAAACCTTTCAATAAACAAGGTAGCATCTCTGCCATCAAACCAAGGTGCATTTGCCGTGCCAGGGGAAGGCATAGGAATGTGGGAGTGAACCACAATTCTCCTGTCTTCACCTTGTGACATAGTCACATATGATCCTGTAGTACCTTCAACCATAGTTGATTCTGATCCTGATTTCTTGATTTCTTGATCTTTGGTCATGTCACACAGTATGTTCTGTTGTTTCTCAATAATTCAATATCTTTCCAAAAAAACCTATTTATCAGGCAAGCTTTAGATAAGAGCCATTCAAATCTAAGCTCCCTAACCTTGTTCCTAAACAAAAACCTGATTAGTACTGTATTCCTAGTCCATAAGATCTTACCTTGAAATAGTGTATTGCTTCATGTGTCTCAGAATTTGTTTTTCTTCCTTGGCAGCCACCAAATCACTGCATCATCATCTTCAGGTCTCAGCTTGGTCACCAAATGAAGCGGGGTATGATGGGATGCCTTGTCAAAGTAGGCAAGTTGATTGAGATGGTGAGAGTGCAAGAAGGATGAAAAATCACAACATAGTAAGGATGGTAATGGCCGAGTAGTAAGAACAGAGAAGCATGCTTTAACAGATGCCTAAGCTCATAAGGAATAATAGTACTAAAGAGCCTGTACTAATACAGGCAGCTCTAATAAGGAACAGTGGCAAGCTTCATGAACAAGAGATCTTCATATTCTCTAACTAATAACCAAACTAGCAATAAAGAATGAGTGTGTGGAAAAGTACAAAGGTGTGCAAAGGTATTGAGCAAGATGCAGGGGCTATGGGTGGTTTATATAGCTCAGAGATAGTAGCTGGGGGGGTTTTGCGCCTCAGACCGGAACAATCTTTGTCCTAATATGGTACTGGAATCCCCACTACACTAGTATCTTATTTTTCTTGTTATTGTTGTCTGTTTTATCTGAAGATGACAAGCTGCCAAGATCTGTCAAGAGTGAATTATCAAGATTCATATGTTCAAGCTCAATAGCAGGTGATGTACTGAATATTAGAACTCTGACAGAGGAAGTGGAGTCTTGTAAAGATTCATGTAAACTACTTGATATTTTTGAATCACCTTCTGTAATTTCTGTAAGAGTCTTATTTTCTGATAAGTCTACATGTTATAGAGGCTTCTCTGAATCTGGCTCAGCAGATATTGAAGCAGGGTATGATGAGATGCCTTGTCAAAGTAGGCAAGTTGATTGAGTTGGTGAGAGTGCAAGAAGGATGAAAAATCACAACATAGTAAGAATGGTAATGGCTGAGTAGTAAGAACAGAGAAGTATGCCTTAATGGATGTCTAAGCTCATAAGAAATAGTACTAAAGAGCCTGTACTAATACAGGTAGCTCTAATAAGAAACAGTAGCAAGCTTCATAAACAAGAGATCTTCATATTCTCTAACTAATAATCAAACTAGCAATAAAGAATGAGTGTGTAGAAAAGTACAAAGGTGTGTGAAGGTATTGAGTGAGATGCAGAAGCTATGGGTGGTTTATATAGCTCAGAAATAGTAGCTGGAGGGGGTTTTGTGCCTTGGACTGGAACAACCTTTGTTCTAATATAATACTGGAATCCCCACTACATTTTCTCCTGGCTTTCAATGTTGATGTTCCCTGACAACAGACAACATATGGAACAAAACAAAGACAATTTAGTAAAGAAAATAAGAGGCTAAGAATTAGTAACAATCTGGTAAGAAAAGAGATAGAAAATAAGAATAAAGAGAGTGACAGCAGCAATTTCTAATAGTGATCATCATGATTCTCTTCTTCCACCAAGTTCTTGGGAGGAGAAAAAGGCCAAACTGATGCTGGATCAATGTTGTTGTGCACACAATGCTAATAGAATTTGTTATCAAAAACTTTCTTTTTAATTTAGTATGTCTTGACAATAGCATTCAAAGCAATTTGTGTGATCTTTAGATGTCAGTTATTAATGAAGTTCTGAGCCTTCTTCTCTTCTGATTCAAAGAGAGTATCAAGCTCCTCAATCACTATAGGGTTGTTCTACCTAATTTGGCCTATCAAGGCATCTGATATAGCTTCTAAGCCTTGCAATTGAATAGCAGTAGAGAATTAATATGGAACTGATATGTAATGGTTTGAATAGCTGGAAAATGATAATGGCTCTGAAACTAGATCTCTATATATAGTGAAGAGCTGTAACCAGATACCAGCTTTATTAACTTCAAGATGTTCATAGTTCTTCTGGATTGCCATATACCAGAGTAGTATACTATGCCAGATCTTTTTGCATGGACTGTAAGCTTTATAGAGCAGCAGAGGGCTTGTAATTTGAACATTGCCAGATTTGCAAATGATGTCAGTCTATCTAATACCAAATTTTCTTTTATCATCTTTGATATACATTGTATTCTTAATGTGGTGAATATAGTTATTAGTGAATAAGCCTCATTCTTCAACTAGTCTTCATCAATTCTCTAGATGATTATGCATTTCTGACAAGATTTCTGTGCAGTCACCAGGCTCTTCTGCTGTTAAGATCAAGAATTCTTGTATTATGTTAATGCTTCTTCCAGTAGTAATAGCATCTGGAATGTTGACATTAATATGATGAAATTCAGTTTTATCCTCTGGCTTAGCATACTTGATGTAATATGGATAGGAGATTAATTTTCAAGTGTAGTTGGGTCTTGTCAGCATGTACC